GCTAAAATTTCCACAGATCCACATTACAGCAATCCCCATGAAAAAAGCACTACTTGCCAACAGTCACCACAAAATGGTATCTTGAGAATACGACTGTTTCTCTGACATTTAGAACAGGCGATAGCTGTAGTAAATGTGGGTTCACTGTGGGTGGTATCTGTTGGCAAATGTTGACTTTTTCATAGCAAGCACTTTATATACTTTCTGTCTTTTTCATGGCCATCGGCCCTAAGCCTTTAGTTTAAAAAAAACTACATTTTTCATGAGCAATTTTTTAATGGGAGGAAAAAAATAAAAGTACTAGAAATGTATATGGATAATGTGAATGTCCAGAATTACATGAGGTAAGATTTAAAACTGTTTTTAGAAGTGATTATAAATCTTCATGTTTCAGATCATCAGCCAACTTTCAGGTGAAGCTTCTCATTGACACTGGGGGGAAGCTTTTCTTTTGGACAAGATATTTCAAAATTATCCACTATTTTGTTTTGTGCATTGTGTTCTGAAGGGTGTGGTATTGGACTCTCTCAGAAAACAGAATACAGCATGGCTGGACTACTAGTGTGATCTCTTATGGGAATTCCTATATTCCATCTGGAAAAAGCAAATGGTTCTAAATGTATCTGCATGAAAGTAATGGAGAGGAAAAATCTGTTACTGTTTAGAAACTATGTTAATAAATCTCAGATCCATTCACTGTAGTACAGTAAATGTTTTAATCCAATTATCTTTAGGTGATATGTGTAACTTATAAGCGGGACCATACAGCGAATGAAGATTGGGTCATTTGTACATACAATAGCTTACTCGTTTGAAATATGCTAATGAACATGGCTATGTTTTTCTCTAATAAATGTTCTCTGTGGAACTTTAAAATATAATAGAGGAAACTGCATTTAATTCAAACATCCATTTCAAAGCAGTGCCATTTTATGTCATGTAATATGCTGATTTGGCCTTTCTCCCGGTTGCCCACTATGGCATCATGCCAAAATGGTAATTTTCACAACAGCAATTTCATACACAATTAGTGGGCAAATTTCATCTCTGGTGCAAATCCAATGGATACACCAGACAAAATCTATTAACCAAAGATGTGCAGCAATTGAAAAAATATTTATCATGCACTATAATCCAATATATTTTTATGTAAATGCAAAATTTCTTTGTTAAAGACAATTACTGTTGCACTGTTAAGAACTCAAAATTCAGTTTATATACTTAGCTAAGGTTCAATGTACTTGTATGCACTATGATAGAGACGAAATTTTGGCCCCACTAAAGTCGAGGACAAAATTTTCTTTGATTTCATGCCGGTTCTTTAATGATCAGATACATACTATTTTCAAACATGAAATTGTATGTAATACAATTATTTTTTCCAATCATAGAGCCACATTTGTACCTAAGACAAAATTTGATTAAAATGGGAAGTGTATGTAAGA